AGTATGAATTATGAAACCCTAGTATGTATATACTTAAGGGTATTAGTAAATTAGTTAATCCTTATTGGGTTATCGGTTTTACCCAATAACAGAATTGTTAAATCGAGCTCGAACCGATAACCCAATAAAAAAAATTTAACCCGCTACGGAACCGTTAACCCAATAACCCAATACCGATAACCCAATAAATAATTAACGGTTCGGGTTAACGATTTTATCCGATATATGCCCACCCCTAATTGATCGAAAATGCAGGCCCATCCAACCCTCTCCTCCCCCTCCCCCCTTCCCCCACCCCCCAAACCAAACCGCCTATATACTCGATTATCATAATTTGTTTTTATTGCTCAACAAAGTATTTTTCGAAATTGCAATTTAAACTTTGATCAAACTACCTCTTATCTGACAAAATGTCAAATATGAATACAAATCACCAATTTAGTCAAATAACATCAAATCAAGGAGACTCATTTTTTCTTGTTCAATAGTACTTTTTAAGGACCAACAATGAAATTTTGAAAATTTTAAAACAATCACTAAAACAATATTTGAATAACAAAATTTAAGCACAATTTATCAACATTCAAACGATGAACAATAACCAATCAGACAAGAATTTCGAGCTTCCAATCTTAAAGAGCTTTAGTATTCTCACAATGTGGAAAATTTTTATTTTCACTACAAAATAAAATCAGACAAAAAATTTTACTGGGTCGTTGTTGTTGTTGTTACAAAATAAAAGCGGAAACGCTATTTAAAACTCAATCCTTTAGGAGGATAATCGGTGCAATTTTGCAGTTATACTGTAGCAAAGTTTAATTAAACTCGATTCAAATCAAAAGTATAGCAATTCAGTTGAGCTCAACTCAAGTTGAGAAGTTTTATTGTGTGTCTCATACAATTGACATTAATTGTGTGAGACTCTTTTTTGTCTCATAAATTTGTGAACCCTAATCTTACGCTTTTGGGTCCACAAAAATTTGGGCCCATTAAATTATGAGACAAAAAAGATACCCCATACAACTAGTGTCAGTTGTATGAGACACAAAATAAAATTTTCCGCTCAAGACTATTATAATAAACTTAGTTGGACTTATCTCAAAACGTCCTTTATCTAATTACATCATTTTTTTTCTTTTTTGGGGTAAAACAAATGAAAACTTACCGACCATGAGACGACATAGATTTGGTGACAAAGGCAGGCGTGGCTCGATCCATGCCTCCACAATATGGTCTTATTCAGAAACTGAAGTGTGGGGCCACAGGATTAGACCGCTCATCGTGTACGTCTCTTATTATTCAATTCATTTGTCCCTTCTCCTCATAGTATAGACCAAAAATTTCTTGCTCTTTTGAAAAAGCTAACCTCTCCTTCTTTTGCCAAACGCCAACTTCTCCTGAGAAATTGAGCTCTCGAGATATACCTACTTTATCATTTCACCGACAAAATGGTAAACTCTTGTATTACTACCGTGGTAACTCGTAACTGGTAAATCACGTTTTTGTCTAAGTTTAATCCTAGCATGTTGGTCAAGTTTCAAAAATTAGTTTATTTCAAAAAAGTAATAATTTTTTACTAGTAAAGTATTTTTTAAAAAAAAAATTAAAATTTAAGTTGTTTGTACTACTTAAATTTTAGTAAAAATAAACTTTTAGTAGCGAGTAATTAAGTTATTTTNTCACTTCTTAAAAGATATATCTATTTTTACTCAAAAAATTTTTTTTTTCTTCTAAAACTTGGCTAAACACAATAATTTTGGAGGAAAAAAAATACTTTTAAAAAACAACTTTTGACCAAAAAACTGGGTCAAACAGGCTATAAGTTGATATACGAGCAAGCTCTACGTTGATTTATTTTTTTCTTTTTTCTTTCTTTTCTCGAAAGGCTAGGTAAATTATTAGTATTTTTTATCTAGGTAAATCATTAAGTGAGAATTGTGACGCACAAGTCTATTATCCATGGTTGTTTGGTCCAGGCACAAGTTTTGCAAGGATTAATAACACAAGAATTGTAATGTTGAGAATATAAAAATTAATAATAGCATTATATATTATAGACCTTTAAATTTGCCATGACTTCTCATTTTAGCACCTCATTTCTGCAAGTACTTATTATGTAGATACTTATTAAACATCTCATGTTAACCCAAATCGTGCATACATTTCAAACTTGCCATGATTTCGGCATAATACACAACTATCCCCTTGGATTGTTCACTTTACTAGTTGCAACTTTAAATTTTGCGGGAATCCTATAACCCCTTATCTTTGTTCAAAAAGTAATAAATACTATCTTTTGCGGCTAGCACCACTTTGGACCAAAATAATATGACACGTACCAATCATGTTTTGACATGTACTTTTTTTTAACTATTTATTTTTTCTTTTTATTCATTGTTTATTTAAAATTATCTTTTCTTTTCCTTTTCCTTTTTTTTTTTAAAAAAATAACTCTTTATAGCCGCTCTCAAAATAATAGCCAAAAAAATGTATATATTTTTTGTATATACACATTCTGTATGTTATATTCAAATTTTGTACACTTTTTCTGCTACCGAAGATAAATAGTTTCTGACATGGCTAAAAGTGAAAAAATCCCTTCTTCTTTCTTTTCTTTTCTTTTCTTCTTCTCCGTCACATTGCCACAACTAGTCATTTTTTTTCTCATCTTTGCTATTGCAAATTGCTTATACTCAATTTTTCTCAGATTTCTTACACGTAATTTAATGTATCAATTTTTGAGCAATTCATCCATATTTCTAAAAAAAAAAGCTTTACAAAAGCCACCACCATTGAAGAAAAATGACAGATGGCTTTTGAATTTGACTTCAAAATTCTATTAATTGCATATTGCTTTTCTTCAAGTTTCAGATCTTCAAATCAATATAACCTCGAAATCTAACTTCAAGTTTCAACTCCCATAAGGTTTGAATAGCCAACTTTTTTTAACTTTGAGGATTCAAAGTTCAAACCACTTATGTCGCACTTTCGAAGAACCCGCAATGGAGTTTAAAATTTATAATTCGAAAATCCTCAAACCTAACAAAAAAATCAGTAAGTAACCCGAATTTCAGTCCCGCTTTGATTTTTGGACTTCAAAAATAAGTACCACGGTTTCCTTCGATAACCTAATTCGTTCTTCAAAACCCAACGACTAAATTTTCGTTCTTCACCTTCAATCCTTTTCATAAGTAAGGATATTGAACAATGACTTGAGAGTGAGCTCAAATAAGAACTAATGGAAGTCTGGCCTTCTATATGAAGAACAAAAAAAAAATGAAAACGCAGAAATAACTAGAACGCGGGTGCAAATGAAAAAGAAAAGTCAACGGAAAAAAAAAATAGAGAAATAACAAGATTTGGGAAATTTTTATTTCTCACGCGCTATGATTGCGTGCAAAATGTTAAAGGTACCACGTCAGCTCAAAAGGAGAAATTTATTATATGTTGAACAAATACGAGGGGTCCTAAGACTCCCACAAAGTTAAATGGTACAACTATTAGCTACAACCCCAATAACATACTTATGTATTTCCCCTTTGTTTTGAGGATTTTACAAATTACTTTTGAGGATTGTGACATCTGCCTACATTTCATGAAAGTCTGGAACCCAAACATTAAGTTAAAGGCAAGCCAAAAAACCAAACCTATAGATGTCAATAGGGATGGCAAGCGGTGCGGGCGGTGCGGGTGCCGGGCTGATTTTTTCTTAACCCGCAAAATTTCAACTCGCCTCACCCCTCCGCGCATAGCAGTTGCATCCGCGTTAACCCGCCCCGAATCTACACCCGCGTCCACCCGCCCCGCCCCACCCGGGTATAAGTGATTTTTTTTCATTTTGTTAGTTTTAATTATTTTTTTAAATCTTTTGGCTGGAATCTTTTTTTACACTTTTACTATATGAACTCATGTTTTTTATTAATTCTAAAGATTATGAAAGACTTCAGTTATGGAAAGAAGACGATTAGATACTTAAGAGAATTAAATCTTACACATATGCAGCAAAGTTACTAAACAAACATCGTTGATATTATAATACCTCTTTGTTTTTTTAACTTTTATATTTGTTAAAAGTATATATATTAATTTACCCTATTCAAGCTTTCGTTATAAATACAAAAAATCTTTGTGAAGATCAATTAATACAAAAATACAGGATAAAATTGCGTACAATAAACCCTTGTGGTCCGGTCCTTCCTCGAATCCTGCATATAGCGGGAGGTGATTGTACCGAACTGCCCTTTTATTATATACGGAGGTGCAATTTCACGTAAAAACACAACAACCGTTAGACAAACAACAAAAGGGACTATAGAAAGCAAGAGTAAAAAAGTTGAAGAGTCACTTGCAAAAAGAGCAGAACAAATATCAGTAAATATAATTGTACTTAAACCCACATAGCCTTTTTAAACCTGCACCCGCACTTGCAACGCCCCTGCATAAATTTTAAATGCTTTTATTTTGACCCGCCCCACCTCGCAATGGCATATGTTTAAACCCGCACCGCCTCGCACGTGTCTAATAGCTTGTTTGGCCAAGCTTTTTTTTGGGCCAAAAGTGCTTTTTTGGCCGAAAGTGCTTTTGGCCAAAAATTAAGGCGTTTGGCCAAGTTTTTGGAAGGAAAAAAAGTGCTTTTGAGGAGAAGTAGAAGCAGTTTTTGAGAAGCAGAAAAAAATAGCTTCTCTGCAAAGGCACTTTTCTGAGAAGCACTTTTTTGAGAAAAATACACTTACAAGCAGTTTTCAAAAACTTAGCCAAACACTAATTACTGCTTAAAAGTGTTTTTCAAATTAATTAGCTAAACACAAACTGCTTCTCACCAAAAGTACTTTAGAAAAATGCAGTTCTCAAAATAAAATGCTTTTAGAAGCTTGGCCAAACAGGCTATAAACCCGCTCCGCCCCATTGCCATTCCTAGATGTCAAAGTTGTCAACAAGCTTGAACGATCACTTTCCTGTATGCTACCTTAGCTAAAACAAAGGTAAACCGTATTCGTATATAAACATTACAATTCAACAAGTCTAATTATTTTCCATCACCAAGTTTATGTTATATATATATGGTCACTTGTCATAAAGGAACAAACTGGGAACAAGCAACCTTGTAAACGTGAAAGTAACACATGCAAACAAAAGGCCAAACGCGAAAAACAGAGAAACTCAGAGACTCCAGAATGTGTACAAACTAATAAATCGAGATATAAATTATCAATTGTAGTAGAGCTCGAGACCCATTCCATCGTGAATTTCGTAGTCCTTAAGGGCGATATGATCCTTATAGATAGTATACCATTTTTGAATGCGGATTTTATCGGCACGAGTTCCTGTTTGTGCTGCCACCAACTTCTTTAGGTCTCCAATCGTGTCGTCCTCATTGCATTTCACCCTCACCTTCTTCCCCAATCGATCATTCAACACCACTTCAATCATCTTTAATTTGCAGATATTGTTTTTTCCTGAGTAGATAGATTGATCAAGTTTGGATAATCTTTTTTTGGAATATATAAGTGAGACCGAGATTGCGTTTGTACATATAAGTAGCAATTTTGATAGGACTCTGGCTCTAGATTCTTCTCTTCCAGATACTTCCAAAGCCATAGGGTGATTTTGTCCATTCATCTCGGGCAAAAGCTGCGTGAATAAGAACATTCTGGAACATGCTTTCAACTGCTTTGGTCTCTTTTAAGTTTTTGGAATGTTCAATTTGTGTGGTATCAAATTCTCGATTAATTATTATATCAAATTATTATAATCTTTTAGTAATTAAAATAAATTCCCAATTCATTAGATTATTTTATTCTACACGACTATCCTCTTCCAGAATTTTGAGGGGGAAAAAAAAGAGAAATAGCGCATGCGCTAATATTTCCCGGTCCTGGAAGAACGACATTATTTGAAGTAGTAATGAGAATTAAATAAATTTGAATTCCTAACACAGGAGTATATCAATTAAACCTTCACAGGTTTGTTTGCACGTTTGTTATATAACATATTGTTACTTTAAATACAATAATTATTTTAATTGTTATTTCAATTTTATTATATCATGTTGTTAAATTCATTCTTATATAATAATTTTAATACCCCTCTTATGTAAGGATCGATTTGGTGTGATCACGTTATTACCTTATTCTTTTCTCATCTTGCCGTTACAACAATTTTATTTCTCCACCTACCTTTTTAATAATTACTTTACCTTATACTCTAATTTTTCTTTGTAATATTATATGCCTATTCTTCAAATATTTTTCTAATTGTTGATATATGACAAAATGACGAAGAAATAATATAATATATCCAAACATAATATACACTTAAATAATACAGTACAGTACAGTATAATACGATACATTATGAAACGACATGCAACAACCATCAAGACAAACTATCAAATATATTGTCCTTCTTAGTGCATTCGCTAATATTTTAACCAAATTGCTAGAAATATGAATAGTTCACGCATGTTTTACCTAATACCTTGCTTCCATTCAGTCCCAACAGTAATAGAATCACCAGGCTGAAGATAGAACTATTTCATCCAATCTTTGCATGGAACACAGTGAGGCAGAGAAGTTGACGATATACTATTTCAATCAAGCATCCCACAAGTGTGCCTTAAACTGAACAGTTAGTGAGGAAAAAGATATGTATAATTATTCATGACGGAGATTACTCCAGAATCCATACAATACTCCCAAAACTAAATGAATATGCGATAAAAACCAAAATTTTAACTTAATGAAAAGAAAACCTGAACAGTAAACATAGTTTAACAATAAATAACCAATATGTTATCCTTTTGTTTGATCCCAACTGAAACACAAAGTACACTGTACATATCTGTATAACCTCACCAACTGAGAATGGGTATCCTGCCCATCAGCTCTGAATTTCATATTCAGATAATGATCAACAGAATTGCACAGTTACTCCAGTACCGCGACTTCTTGGTCAACTCTCCAATAGTTAGAATCATTGAACTCTTTTACCCCTGACCCGCCCTCATCTGTACTATCTTTTTCTGGCATCTTAGGAACTAGGCTCCTCTTCAATGGAGCTGCTTCCCCAACAATCCCCTCCTTAAGAGCATGTTCCATTGCCTTTTCCGTACCCTCTAATTCTACACCAACAAATTCAACATCCTCTTCAAACAAAGAAGGCACAGCGGCTGCTTTCTGACTAGAATCAGAAACAGATGAACTTTTGCTAGACTCGGGAAATGACGATACACCATTCGGAATAGACTCTCCACCATTACAAGTGGAACTAATTGGGGGAGCTAATGCCTCCCTTGAGTTCACGAGGTTGTCATTACAGTCACCATTATCTTCAAAAGGATTCACAGATCCACTCACTGAGCCATCCCCCCACGAAACCCATTCAGGTATAGGCCTGTCTCCAAACGGGTCATCATTGTCTGACCTCTCGAAATGGAAGAAACCCACATCACCTGACACACCTGCTTTCTCATTCTGTTGATTGAAATCTCCACCATTAGCAGAATTGGCTCCACCAAATCCATTAAAGGCATTTGAACTAGAACTGGCTGTTCCATCTGTAGAACTTTTGCTTTCAACCAATTTATCCAGCTCTCCAACTACCACCTCTTCATCACAATTCATGTTACCGTCGTTTGCTGTTCCATTAGGGTTGATATCTTCCATGACCTCAGTAGGTGAGGTGCTCTTGGGATCTCCAGTTCTATCATCTCGGAAAGCAAACCAATCTGAATTTGTGAACAAATTGCTGCAAAGGTTGTTTTATTTTTTTTAATTTAAAATGCGTTACACAAGATAATAGGTTCAGATACCAAGAAACTGATAGAAGCTAACACTCTGAAGCCTACAATAAGTACCATATTCTTAGCACTCAATTTAAAACAAATCAACATAAGACCATATACAAGTTGACGTCTTATTTAAGATATATTATTCAAGCATTGGCATATGTATCATTTACATCTAATGTATGGTCCTCCCATCCCCTGGAAGCACTAAAATTCTAGTTAGCTGGGACTAGTTTGCATCATAGACTTAACAGTTTTACCAATGAAAGAGATGCCACAGAGACAAAACAGAACGCATTCCTCCGGTCAAACAATTGGAAGTAGACACATGTTTCCTCTCAGGTCTCAGCTACCCTACTCCTTTCAAAATACGTGATTTTCCTTTGGTGGGCTAAGAAATTAATATCATTTGCATATGGCTAATTATAGTATATACATCAACAGTACTGAAAGTAAATATGCTCAATTGTCCCTTGACACAAGTTTCCTTCAGAAAAGACAACCAGAACTCACCTCCCTTGGTCATCTCCCAATCTCAGGACAACTTCAGCAGACTCCTCATCTAAGTAAACATCCTACACAAAGGCATGGGCATGAATGTAACATCATGATGAACACTATGCATATAATGAAAAACAGATAAGTGAATCTCACACAAGTTAGTTATCAATTCACTATGCATTTTCTAACTACTCCATTTCTCATCCAAAAGAAAACAAGTTAGCCAGAAAAGAAAAAAATCATTAGTACCTCATCATCCCGATCAAGAGCTCCATGACCCTGTTAACATGCAAGAAAAAACAGGGATGAATAAATCTAGACTGAAATTCAATCCCAACCACAACCCAAAATTTGTGTTGAGGTTGCAGAGCACTAGTCATTGAGTTCTTTGGATTCATTGCCTCCTATACCTAGAGAACACCACCCCTCCCCTAAACTCAAACTTCTTTTCCGCAATAAGAAAAAGATATGTTGGAATAGTAAGCATGACTAGAAGGTATTAGGCAAACCAATTACCTCTTCGGCACCATTATTATCATATATGGTGTATTGGAATGCTTGGCTCAGATTATTTGCTAAAGCTGCTACGTCATAATCTCTGCTATGAGCATCTTCCTCGTCGCTGTCCCTTGTCCTATCTTGAAATGCAGTTGGCCGGCTAATTATATAAAAAAAGGAAGATAATTATGAATTTATTCCACTACTTGCTTCAGGAGCTGAGAAGGACAGTGAGAGGATGTGAGAACACATCAGCAGATCTTTCAGTTCTCTTTTCAAGTATATTTCCAAGTTTGAACTTCTTTCTTGATTACAAGAGTTTCAGTCAAAATCCATCTCATCCATTTTGTAAGAAATCTAGACAGTATATAATCTCATCAAAGGACGCATTCATGTTAGCTTGTGACCGACAAAAGCACATCCATGTTCCCTACTTACTCGCTACCCCACCCATTTCTTCTCTGCCCCCATTTTTACTTCCTTCTCCTAATATTTGAAAATTCAAATATTGAGCTAGAAAGTACTACAAAGAGACAGTGCTCGTTATGACACCAAAATATGTTCTAAGAAAATTGACATGCGTGAATTATTCAGAGTAGCTGCATACTTTAAAGATCTTTGTTTTTGTTTTCTACATGCCCTGAACATCTCTTCATTTATTTTTCTCAATTATGTCCTTCCTCTGTAATGCATGAATTATTGGTTACACCCTAAAACTATTTGTAGTCTTAATAAACCCCACCCCCAAAGTTGGATATTCGGTAGTTGTTACCCCCTTAGAAACAATCTCATCTCAAGAAAGTGGCATGCACACACCTGCCACATGGATTTTTTGCATTTTTTAATAATAAAATACATTTTTTACCTTTATAAATGTATTGATCTTTTAGATCATCTTTTTTAAAACTTGTAATGAAATTTGGCTAGAACTCCATTATTTAGGCTAAACTTTTTTATTTGGCTAAAAATGATGAAGTTTCAGTTGAATTTTTTAAAATTTTGACCTGAAAAAGAAATACATTGTTGAAACAAATAACCATAGCATCTAAAAAGATATTAAAAAAATACATAGTTTAAACTTCATTATTTAAACTAAAACTTTTTATTTAGCTAAAATAAGGAGCTCTAAGCAAGTATCTTTTTTTACAGAATTTACCTGAAAAAAGAAAAAATACACAGTTGAAATAAATATCCATAGCGTCTAAAGAAGAAATAAAAAAGTACACAATTGCAAGTTCATTATTTTGGCTATACTTTTTTATTTGGTAAAAAAATAATGGAGCTGTAGCCAAATTTTTCTTTTTACTGATTTAACTCGAAAATAAAAAATACACATTTGAAATAAATAGCCATTGTATCTAAAGAAAAAATAACAAGAAATACACAGTTGGTGTTCCGCCTTTATCATTTAAGATCTGTCTCATATTACAAGATTTAAAAACTAAGACTACAAAAAAATCAAGTTACAGAATCAGAAAGGGCAAAAACTTACCCACAAGCCCATCGATAGACATTTTCGATTATATTACGCTCCTGTAAGATGTTAGTGTGCCAATCACTCCATTCCATATTTTTCTGGAGTAAAGAAAACACGTTAGCATAAGCAGAGTTGGAACTTGTGCACGAAATCAGATGTCAAATTATAGTTATTGAAGGGAACACTATGTAACAGCATCTAGCACCAAACCTACACAATTATCATCAAAAGCACACAGTAGCAACAAAACAAGAGAAAAGTAACTAGATGTAGCATATACAGTATTTACATACAGCACCGCAAAAATATATTTTTATTAGAACACCACCAAAAA